ATCACCAGCAGGAATGCCTCCAGCACCTCGAGCATTATGCGAATTCCCTTGAGACACTTCAGCAAGTTCAGCCGGTTCTTGTTGTGCCTCACCTGCCACCACACATGCCACGATTAACACCACAACCATAAGATACAACAGACGTCGCACGAGTATCATTTCGGCAAAAAAGTATATTGTGTTGTTTAGGACCAATTAACTGCAAAAAAGAGGAACAAAAACAATTGTAACACAGTATAAAGAAAAGAAAAGAGCACAACGAAACCAGCAGTTAAAATACATTAGAAAAAAATAAAACAAAAATAAAAGAAATACCACATACACGAAAGCCCAAGCAAAAAACAACAAAAACAGCAATTAAGAGCACACAATACACAATCTAGAGAACTATGCGTATGCTTGAGCTAATAAAAAATTAATACTATCTTTCTCTGTTACTCTCTTACTTTTCCAAGAGCCCACCATCATAATTACCGCAGGAGAAAAAACACAATGACCCAGCAAAACCAACAGCAAAGAAAAATACAGTTATTAACTATTAGCTCAATTATCCAATAAACACGAGAAATACACCAACTATGGGTGTAAGTCTATGTGTGTATGTATATACGCAATTATAAATATAAATTCATCTGTTATTATTATTTCCTTTTCCTCTCATTGCAAAAAGCAGTTCATTATCATTATCATAACAGTGCAAGCCCAGGTGCACACACACAGAGAGAGTCTCCAAGAACACACACACAATGGAGTAGAAATAATTATTATTATAGGATAAACACACAGAGAGAGCAAAAACACACACAAAACACAATAACATTAAGAAACAAAAAAGAAAAAGATAATCCCAACAGGTGGAAGATTAGTTAGACTTTAGAGATGTATGCAAAAAAAGAAAGAAAACAAAGGATGACCTGAGCCACACCACCACCATTACAATCAGCACACAAGAATACAGGCCAGTGTAACCACAATCAGTAGTGGTACACGCACCCAAACAGAACTGCTGATACTGCTGCTGCTGTCTGCATCACCCTTCACATTTGGCATTATGGTGTTATTGCTGATTCCATTGATAGTAGGAATTGTATTGGTGGTGGTGGTGGTTGTGGTGGGTAAGGTTGTTTCTTCGTTACTGGTGGTATTGATGGTAACAGAGGTCGTGTTCGCTGTGGTGGTCCCTTCTGCTGATGCACCCACAGTGTTGACACCATTTGTTGATTCATTCTCTGTAGTTGTCACATTATCAGTGGTACTGTTGGGCTCTGTGCTCGTGTTATTTGGTGTGTTTAAATCATCAGTAGATAGACCAGATTGAGGTATTTCACTAGGTGATGCATCTGTAGTAGGATGTGGTTTTGAGTCACCAGTAACGTTGGAGTCTGTACTTGTTGTACCTGTGGCTCTTGGTTTTGTATTGTTGTTATCTTGTTGTTGAGGATCGTGTGTGGTTCCCTTTATCTGTTCTTGTTGACCCTCAGTTCTCCTCTCACCTGACTCACTGGATACTGGCTGCTTCTGCGTATTCTTTGCTTGTTCAGACACCACATCCGTTTGATCGCCACTGTGATCTTGTACAGGAGGGGGAGGAGAAGATAGGACAGTTTCCGGTTTACTCGCGTTCAAAGGACTTTGAACTTTTAATGTGTCACCTGCCTTTTGTTCCATCACCTTCTGCTCTCCATCCATCTTCGTTCCTGTTCAAAACACCGCTTTCACCCTTATCAACACTATTGGTCACGACAGGACGATTCCCATTCTTAATATCTGCACCAGGCAAACCACTAACACCTTCAATTTCCTTCGTACTGCCGGGAGCCTTTGTACCACCTGGACGAACAGATGAAAGATCATCACGTTGATTTAAAAGAGACATACCATAAGAAGGGTGAGAATCATGAGAGCCAGGAGCAGCAGGTTTAACAGCAGCATCACGATGAAGTTGGTGAGATGAAGGAAGAGAAGAGATAGCAG